AGCCCAAGCAACAAAATCTTTTAGAGCTCAACACGTAATAGCTCTTTAAAAGGTTTAGTTAAGCCCGCCAGTGAGCGCGCGCCCGACTTTTTAACCGACTACTACAGAAATTGGGTCAACGAAGTGTTATGTGTGCAAGCAGCAACTATTTATAAAAACATGTGAGCCAAGTTTGTTGCCTAAGTCTTTTGATTTGGCCTAAGCAGCGTTCGACGTGGCTCCGACTCTATGCCCAGATTTACTTTGATTAGGCGAGAGGGCAAAGTTTAAGCGGTTAAACGTGGCAGAGACTCAAATGCCACAAAATGGCTCAATTTATCAGCGTAAATGCGCCAAAGTCTACTTTAACAAGGCTGCCTTTGACACGCACACACGCTCAACAATTAATTAAATACACATAAATTACATTTTAAGTACAGTTTTTATTGCACACGCCCAGCAAATGGCCAAATATATAAACACATACAGAGCGCGTGCCCAAAAGAAATGCCCACCATTAAAACACACCATTCCAATTATAAATTCAAAGCATATTCTCACCATAAATGTCACATAAATAATTTGAGAAAAAGGGCACGTAGCATAAAATATGTAAATAAGACGCAAATCAATCATAAAAAGCGAGCGACCAAGCCAAAACAGAATAACATGCGGGACAACACATGTCCCAACAGCTGTACACAGCTGCAGGGCGAACAATAAAAAAAGAAAAGAAAAACAAAAGTAAAGTTTGAAAATACACACATTTATACAAAATGCAGGAAAGAAATATGAACACGACTTCCCCATGCCCTTCATATACCCCATTGCGGTTTGAAGTTTTGCTAAAAATTAAGCTTAGTTGTAAGATGTATCAATAAAAATATAATGTGGGGAAGCATCACCTTACTTCAAAGTCAGCAATTGGTAGAAACTGCATTAATTTACTTAAACAATATTTAATGTAGGGAAAAGGCTGAGTTAAATAAAAACCTTCTCTTTACCTCCTCGTGTATTTAGGGGCTTTTAAAACAGACTTGGCGCCCTGACACCGGAAACACAAGCCAATGCACGTCAGTTTGTAACTTTCGGCCAAAAGCCAGGCGTGGCAAAAACGAAAGAGGAGGAGGGAATAGCCAAATAAAAAAACAAATCTAAACATCAACGAGTAATTTTAATTTTCATGTTGCTCGTTTGTTTATTATACACAATCTTTGTTGCGGCTAATTTAGTGCCAAAACGCACGACTGCGCAGCCGCAGCAGCGCCAGATTTGTTTTCAGCAATTAGTCAAGCGTGCAGTCAGCAAACTAGACTCGAACCTCAGGCAGGCACTTGCCACGCTGATAATGCGGCGGCATGGCTCAGTGATAAATCAAAAGCCAAAAAGCAAAAGTTGAGGAAGCGCCAACAGCAACACAGACAATAAAACTATATTTGCTTACACATGTTTGCATCGCACACATATAGTAGTTTTGTTAGCCAAAAAAAACGTGATTTGTGTTTGAGTTTTTATTTGCCGTTTATTGACATTTGGCTACAAAGTACAAAGCGCTCAGCACGTGTGGCAAATGATGAAGAGCTTAAGCGGTTACGCCCTTTTCGGCTGTCATGCATGAAGTTTACGGCTAATGCTATTGACTTCTGCACCGTTTCCAATGCTGCCGTTGGGTACCATCGCACCCAATGCTGGAATTGTTGCCAAGTCAGCAGTGAAGGGCTTTAGGCCATGCAGGAAATGTCAGTGCATAGCTATTAAAGTTTTTTTTTTGGCTATAGGGAAATACAATTCAAAAATAAAATACTATAAAAGCTTACAAATGTTTCCTACACAATTAAATGTATTTGGAATTGGAAGAAATAAAAATAATAAAAAATAAATAATAATAATAATAAATATACTACAATATTATACCGCAGTTCGGTGACCATATTACTTGATTCCCTTATCGCCATACAAGCAATACCTTGTACTTTACACTTCATATTACTATAAAGAAAATGATAATTCAAGAAAGGTCATGGAGATATGTATTTTTCTGTGAAAATTTGGCAAATCAGGAGAGCCATGAGCAAATTTTTTGCCTTCTAATCGTAGCTCCATAGGAGTTATTTATATTTTTAGCAATCCATCAATTCCTCACTTAGTTTACATCGCCTGTCAATCATCAACATTTTCCTGAACTACAGCGATGAATACAGGTCTTCCCCAGATTTTAGATCGTTGGTCGTGAACCTCAGATAAGCGTGTTGGTTTTAGAGCAAAAGGCTGAATTAATGAGATCAGTCGCTAGTCAGTCTGCTAGTCGTTGTATTCCCTTAACATAAGTCTAAACTAAGGATAAGGGTTATCAATATTTGTCAGTGTCCGCCAACAATGGTGGGAACGCTTACTTCCCCGCCTGTCACATCTCATTGGGGCGTAGGTGAAGAGGCAGTTTGAATGATTGCAGCATTATGTATAGAATCATCAGTTAAATTATAGTTCACCTTATATTGCTTTTATAAATGGCTATTTTTACCCCACCCCATTGGAAACCTTCAACCAGACAATCATTTGCCACAAATAAATGAAATGCACTAGCAATTTGTTGCTTGCACTTAACTGAAACACAATCAAGTACGAACAGTGCTCGTAGGTACAACTTTCAAATGCGATTTGTATGAAAATTTGTACATGGAAACAATTGTGAATGTTTTTCAATCGGCGTGACAACCATTTTTTCCTTCTACGATATTTTTTCTTCTATTATTTTTATGTTTTGTTTGGCCATGCTCGAATGGGTGCTGCACCAATAAACGAACTGCCGCTGCCGCACACGTTTTTGAACCCAAAGGGTCAAGTGGCGCGTGTAGCGAAAAGCACGCCAAAGGCACAGATTATGACATGCCAGAGCTTTGCACAACCGCCACTGCAATGGAATGGATGTCTAGATAGACAGTTTTTTGGCTGACAAAGGGTTAACCTGAAGCGGTGTCGTCGTCGTCGTCATCGTCGTCATCTCGCAGTTCGATCTTCACGCCTCAGCGCCACCACAGACCTTAGTCGATAGTTGGCTGCTGTTTCTGCTGCTGAAGCTGCTGCAACTTGCCAGATACTTTGCCTGAACTTGACATGCATTTAAGCTGTGCGTGCACACACATACATACATATATCTCTATATGTATCAATATCTATGTAGGTATGTAGGTACAACTACACCTCGCGCGTCTAGACTTTGGAAATGTAAACTGCATTGGCGCAGCCCACGACAAACATTGACAGCCGCTTTTAGTTTTTTATTATTTGTCTGTTGTTCTAATTAATGGCTTAATTTGTTGTCGACACAAACGAAAATTTGTTCATTGTACATTGGTTGTTTTTTCTATCGTACTTTTTATGCCTTATCATAAATTCAGTATTATGGCCAGAAACAGTTAAAATATGAGCTTTTATTATCCAATCAGTTGCCTTTTTATTATGCATGTGCACATAAAATGCCAAAACAAACAACAGACTTGCACGTTCAGATGCCAAAAATATACATACATATATATTTTTAATAACTTGACCGTGCTGCGCATAATGCCAAAAAATTCATCTCCAAGACTCATCAAGTTGGTTCAATGGCATCGCAAAGATTTCGTTTTTTTTAAACACATGCAAATAACGTGTAAAGTATAAGCTACTAACTGTATTTAATATGTACCTCGTTAACTCTTTACGTTAGCTTACGGATTACGTCAAATTCTTACGCTACTGAGCGCATCAAAGCAATGCGATACAGAGACTGACAAAGAGAGAGCGAGGGAGAGAATAGCGAGAGCTACACAAAACGCCGGTTAGTTAAAAACAAAAAAGCCGGCAAGCACTGATAGACTAAGAGCACTGACAGAGTTGTCGAGTTGCTTGCCGAAAGAGTTGATTACTTGTGTTGTTACCTTAATGCAATGGTTTAGAAAGGCACACAATTTCCATTATATGTGCGCTTATTCGAAGGAAAAACTAAATCTGCCCGCCAGGTCGTTGATAATGAAGTACATACAAGAGATTTATTAATACAAAGCGATAGGTGACATCGATATAACATTACAATGGATAATAAATTGAAATTTATAAAATCTTACAAAGATGAACATCTTCTGATCTACTACAATATATATAAAACTGAAGTTTTAAGTTGTTTTGCTGGCATTGAAGTGGACCACATTTTTAAAAATATACTATAAAAATTAAGTAGCTCCAATAGCATAGAATGTATTATTAAAAAAGTACAAAGACTGCTGAGTAATACTTATTTTTCGATTGTTTAATTGTAAAAAGGATTTAAAAGTAAATTATAAATATTTGCTATAAAACGTTTTAAAAAGCAATCAGTTGATATAAATGTTGACATTAATTGGGCACTAATATCCATATATAAGTGGTTATTTCCAATCATGCATTATCTTCAAAATGTTGTTCAACGAATATTTATAGCATGTTCATTGATTGTTATTAAATAACCCATCCATCATTCAATCAGTGTGTGCACAAAAAGTGGGAATTTATCAACAGACCCACCCATGAGATACTCATATGCCCTGGAGCTACCTTATATATATTTTTATTTTATTATGTACATATGTTCATATACATAATATGAAGTGTTTTAGAAATCTATTTCTAAATTAAGGAATTCAAGAAAATTGTCAATTTTTTCACACTTCTTATAATAATGACTAAAATGTGCAGCTAAGTTCATTGAAGAGCAACTTTATGCTCTTTAGCCATAACTTTATGTTACTCTCTCTCTATTTTGTTGCTCTCTTGCAGCTGCCTTTGCCGTTGCCGTTTTGTGCCTGAAAAGCTGACATCATCGCAGTCGCAGATAGGCAGGCAGACCCAGACGGAGACTGAGACCGAAACGCAGACCAGGCAGGCAGCCAGCCAGCTGTCAGACCGCAGACAGCAGACCGAGTCTACAGCCACAGCGCGGCTTATTTAATGCGCCAGCCAAGCTCGAAACTCTTTTAGTATAGCGTTGGCGTGCGACACAGACGGTTCGGTTGAATACGAGCAAAGCTAAAGTACTTAATAAAAACTTAACAAATCAAAACAAAAACTAGAAAAACACAAAAACGAGTTCGAATTATAAAAACATATATATACATAAATTTATATATACAAAAATATAGAGGAGCAAGCGTTAAACTAGTGCAAAAAAGTAATGAATATTAATAAATACGTAAATATAAAGAAAACTCAAAAACTTAAAACAATTGTGGCCAAGACTCTGTGGCTTGTCTGGTCTGATGTCAGTCTAGCACTTGAACTCGACTCGTGAATTCAAAACCAAGTGAAGCCAAGCGTTGAGTGTGAAACGAATACAAAAACAACAACAGCAATAAACAGCGAATTTAAAACCCACAGTCAAGTGTTTTTTCCTGTGCATATAATCGCAAAGACTAGGCAACAAACGTTTTTTTTAGTTCATAAAACAATTGTAAAGAAAGTGAAAGACAGCAGTTGACAGCGACTTGTTTTAAAAGGGAAAGGTTTGCAGGGTTTCAGTTTTCGAATTTTCTCAAGTGCAACGCATAGAAGTTTTTTTCAACAGCTGTTCGCCCACTTGATACAAAAAAATATGTCATTTCAATGATTTTATATATTTTCAATCATGTTTTCTTCAATGCTTTTGCTTCGCTTTGCTTTGCCTTGCTTTAGCTGCTGACTACGCATTTTTTTGCATCTGTTATATGTCATTAATATATAAAAACCACGCGTCTGATTCGTTGCCATTGATTCATATTGAATATTAGTACTGTGTGTGAGTGTGTGGTGGTGAGTGCGCGCGTGTGTGTCTGTCTGTCTGTTTGTTTGTTTGCCATTCGTGTGTTAAAAAGCGAAATATAAATACAAACGACACACACACACACAAACAGCAACAACAACAACCAAATATCGGCGCTGAAAAAAGCGGCCAAGCGACATTGATGCCAATCGCCAGTGCATTTGGTTTTTTGGCTTATATTGGCATGCAACAAAAAGTCGAATAAGAAAACAAAAACGAGCTTAAAACGCCTTCAGTGAGCTGGGCTGTGAGGCATACTAAAGAGAGATATCAGCTGTCATCCAGGTAGGTGCAATTGTGATATTTTAAGGCTATGATTTATATATCTATTCTTGTTTCAAACATATTATAATAAATTGCGAGCTTTTTGCCAAATTGTTAAGGCATGTCTGTGCCTTGCTTTTGGTATTTGGCAGCCCAAGCAGATAAAAATGTCTGGCAACCAACATTATACAGGAAACTGTTGAATAAATTATGTTCTAACTTGCTGTATTTGAAAGGCAGCTATCCAGAAAACTGGAAAAATAATAATATTCACCATAGAAAACAAAATCAAATGCCAATTATTCATAATATTTTAAGATGCATATCGACAAACAAAACGGAGAAAAATTCTCTAAGCTTAATATAAAATATTTTGTATAATTTGTATATACTTGTATATGTATCTGTGTAGCTTTGGAGAAATATTGAACTAATGGTAATGCATCACAAATTGCCAGACTAATAACTAAATAAAATAAATTGAAGAGATAAATTATTTTAAATGCTTTGATTATAAAGAGATTTATGAGGGACAATTTTAGAAATAGAGAAATATTAAATGATGTTAACATAGGAAGAAAAAAGTAAATACTTGTAGCTTAAATGTAGTAGGAAAATAAATAAAATTCGATTCGAATGGAGAGCTGTATTCCATTTTTGAAAGTAAGTCAAATTTTCAATCATTCTAGGTTCTTTGTTGAACAACAATTTGACACAAATATAAGTTATAAATGCGATTCTTCAGAAACAAACTCGGGGGCCAGTCATATACATAAGTATTTAACAAACCTTCTATCAACATTTACAATTTGTGAAGTTTTGGCTCAAAATAACCAAAAGCTTCATGCAATCTACTTACTCTCACATGCTCTTGTACGATTTTATGCAACTACTTCTACTACTTGGGTCTTCCACCAGTTGATGACTTCTTCAGTTACCCCTTTTTAAATTACTATGGTAGTTTCATTCAGGTATTAGCTTGCCAATTATAATGCTACAACTCAATGCTCCGCTCATATTACTTCATTCTCTTCATTCTTGGCTAGTTTTAGATCCGCCTTCGCTCTTGGCATTCTTCATATGCCGTTTACTCGTATCTGCCTCAAGTTTTTCTGCGCTCCATTTAAAATGAAATCACTTTGAGAAAAAAAGTTTCATTTCTTTATAGCCTCTGCGGTTTGATGTTATTTTTTTACTATGTTAAATCATGAGAATGCCGCCAACCAACCAGCCAGCATTATGTTCTTATAAAATAAACTAAGTATGCATTTCCCATTGTGTGGCTTTTAAAAAAACTCTTTCTAAAAACCCCCCAGTTATTCAAAATTTTTTATTATTCAAAAAAGAAAATGTAAGAAATTGTATTAATTAATGAGCAGCAAAAAGAATTGCTTTCTGAAAATATTTTACCTTAGCTTACGGCTGAGTCTGTTTCTTGTTTATTATACTAATTTTGATGCAATATTATGGCCATAGTCGTAAAAATAAAGTTAATTTATGGCCACATTAGGTGGTAAGTAGATTAATCATTGATGCTCAGCTTTTGTATTAGCAGCTCGTTAGGCTATGAAATATTTAGAGCAATTTTTTTAAACTCTAATTGCAGTGCATTCAACTCGAAGAATTTATAGTTCTTTACTTCAACAAGACATGAGCGCAAGAGGTTTTAATTTCAACATTTGTCTGTCCGGTCATGTAAGAAATTCTTTTTCACCCGACAACTAATTTCAGATAAAGCGTAGCTTGTTGCTCATTTGTCCATTCTACACACTCGGACACACACACATTCCTATAAAACAAAAGACTAAGACAACGAACTTGATTATTTTATTTCTATATGTATGAATGCATGTATAGCCACCACCATGAATCATTAAAAAACACTTTTCACAATTAAAGTTCAATGATTCTAGCCTGTTTGCATGATTTCACATTTTATGCGAATTTTTTTCCCGCTGCCGCCGTCAACAATTAGTCATCACTTTGTTAGTATTCTGTATACGCGACGTGGGTCAGGCCATATGCAGATAGTTGTAGTTGTTCCTCATAACTTTTTTGCTGCTGCTTCTGCTGCTTTTGTTGTTTTCTTCTATTAAATGGAGCCTTAACTTGTATAGCTTGTTAGGCTTAATCTTCTTTTTGCTTTTTTATAATAATTTGTCGGCAGCAGACAAAAGTGTGGGCAGTCCAAAAATTTAGAAAGCTTTAGCAAACATGTCACAAATGTATACGGACAAGCATAAATATGTCAAGATATGACATCTTTTTGTATATGGGTTGAGGTCAAGCTGTGGTCTACAAAGAACAACCATTCAGCATCTGAAATCGTAACTGCTACCGAACATTTAACATATTTGTATGGCTATCGTAATCTTAAAAATTAAAACCGAATTCAGCCCTTTTTATAAATATAAATTAGTAATTCAATTTTATAGAGCCCCATTTTTATGTAATATGTTTACAAATACATAGTAGTTTAAACATATAATTAAATTTTTCTGTAATTTCACTGTTTAATAGACGTCCCTTTCGCTTTTCAAGAAATTATGCCTGTAATGTATTGATTGTTCATTTGGAAACGTACTGCCGATAGACAAGCTGGCAAGAACGAAAACTATCGCAAACAAAGAAGGCAATTATATGTTGATAATTTATAAAGGTTTACTTTTTAATAGCAATAAATTGGTCGTACCTTTGCCTAAGCAAGACATTACATCACTTTTTCTTCTGGTGATATCAAGTGCAGGCCCAGCTATCGAGCATCAACTGAAATGCCACATAAAACTTGTGGGGTACATTAACGCACATAACCATTAGCAAAAAGGTGTTGGCCCCAATTGTCACCTCCAAAGATATCAGCCAGACAGACACATAGCGATGAAAATGTGAGTTGGCTGACAAAAAAAAATATAGGTGTGGAATTCTAGAGCCGTACCCTCAGTCAGCCTCAACCTCAGCCCCAGCATATTGCATTACCTTGTCAGCTAATTTTTATTGCTTTTGTATGTAAGCCGCACGCGCCTTCTGCTGCCAATTTATCGGGCCAAAGACAATGCGCTGAATGTCAGGACCGGCAACAGACGCGTTGACATTAAGCACATTTCAACACCCCGACAAAGAATTTTTATCAAACTGAGCGAGACAATTTTTTGTGGCCAACACGTGCATTGTGCTTTATTTGTCACTCCGGCTATTTTGTATGCCTGACACTTTATTTTTAACACCAAGCTGCCAACGAAACGTGCCCTAAAAGGTCTAATGGGCCACAGAGTTTTTGCGAAATTCATCAATTGATAAATTTGTTTATGCAAATTTTATGGTGCCTTTGACATGAGTGCATTTTGTGTATTTTAAATAAATATGAAATAAAATGGAATATTATTTCGTTGACATTGTGCTATGCATTGTTTGTCAGGGCTTTAAAAAGAGCGCTCACTTAATAACAACAACAATAACCACAACTACCAAAATGAATGGTTCAAATGAAATCCGACATACTCCAACGTTTCAAAGTCATAATTATTAGCTTTGCCTTTATATGGCTGCACATTGCTAAGCAAAAACAAAAGCAGAAAAAACAATTTGCTGGCATAACACACATAAAATTAAAAATTCTTTATAAATTGTTTCTAGCTGCGTTTCGCATAAAAATTCCAATGAACTTTGGCAGATGTCAGACAATTTGCAATTTGTTTGCATTAGGATTTACGAAAAAACAATAAAGAAAACATCTATGATGTTAATTGGGGGTTTGAAGTTGAAACCGGAGCTATGCAAATTGCTCAGATTGGGCACATTATAGAGTTCATAGAAATGTATGACGTGGTCCAATGTTCTCACCTCATAATGCAGAAACTGAAGGCTAAACTCTACATTATAGTTTAAGCACTTAAGCTATAGAAACAGCAGAGTAATGTAATGTTTTAATGTAAAATAAATTTTAAAGGCATCCTAACCTTTAGGCAGCTAACAAAAAGCGCTGTTTTTATGTATGAAGTATAAAATAAATCTAATAGTTTGTGTTATTCGGAAGGCCAATGCATATGTTTGTTCCTTTTTACAAAAACTTGACTATGAAAAGAACTTTTATTTTAAATCTTTAGAGCTTA